ACCCACCTGTATCACTACTAATGAACCACACAAAGACAATCGGTGACATCTATTGATTATGTGGTGACAAACAATTGAGGTCCCAATTAGCTGGGCAATGGTGGGGGGAGTGTGCCCTAACCAAAGTCATAATGCCTATCCACATTATTCCAGATGGTAGTCATAATACGTTAAACCTTACACATGTACACTCTAGAACCAAACGAGAGGCTCCTATCCGAGGGAGCTTCGACCCCCATGTGTATATTGATGCCATAGGTGTGCCAAGGGGGGTGCCTAACGAATTCAAAGCAAGAGATGAAGTGGCTGCAGGATTTGAATCCCTAATTCCAATGATAACTGCTAACAAAAATGTCAATTGGATCAACTACATCTATTATAATCAGCAGCGCTTCGTTAACTACACAAGGGATGCCCTACAGGGCCTAGCAGAACAATTACAAGCCACTACTCAAATGACATTTCAGAACAGAATGGCCCTAGACATGATTTTAGCTGAGAAAGGGGGAGTATGTAAGATCCTCCCTGAGACCATGACATGCTGTACATACATTCCAGACAACACTGGGCCAAATGGTAAGGTGACTACGGCCATAGAAAAGCTAGATAGTCTTTCTGATGAACTAAAGAAAAATTCAGGAGTCACTGACACTTGGGACAGATGGTTTGGATGGATGAATGGTTGGCAAAGGACCCTCTTCCAGGTAGGGACAGCTGTTTTCATAATGATTATCATCTTCTTATTTATAACCTGTTGCGTGCTCCCTTGCATACAGAAGTACTTACAGAAAGCGGTAGATAAGACTATAGATGACGTGACCCCTACTTTCCTACATCAAGACATCACAGACCTCAAAGATGACACTCCACATACACCCCTCCAATCACATCAGTTCAAACAGACAACTGCTCTCCTGTAGGGACAGTGTAGGGAAAGCGTCTGTCTTGGCAGGCGAGTCTCACGTGTGGAGATGTGGTGGACTAGCCACTGCGGGTTACCCACGGAGTGAAGTGTTCGATGCTTGTTAAGACAGATAAGTTGCAGGCAGTTAGGGACTTATTAGGGACAGTAGCAGTTGTTATGGTAAATAGCCATTTTAGGGGGGACTGTTGTGGAAATAAGGTCTACACATATTTCCTAGTTAGTGAAAATGTCTATTTACTCATTCCACGATATATCATATATAAAGCTGAGCACACATGTTTTAATCAAAATGGCTGCTAGAAGCTTCTAAACCCTCCTTCCCCCCCCTTCCCTTCTTAACACCAACTAACTACCTCGTGCAGCAAGATGGCGCCGGGAAACCGTGGGAGACCCTCATGGTCCCGGTGACATCACTTCAGTAGGCAGAGCATTAGAGCAACCACTTAACACCTAACCAATAATTGATGTATTATTCTATGTTATCTCTGACAATGCTTATGATGTAATTTTGCTTTAAAAGGGACCTGCCGTCCCCTCTGAATAAACTTTCCTCAAGTTATTCCACACCTGGAACCTGTGTCTGGTGTGAATTACTTCAGGGAGCGTGCACGCATTGTTTCACTGATTTGGCCAGGGGCAGATACACAAAGAAATAATCAATACATTGATTGATTTTTTCCATTTCAACATGTTTTAAAAGTAATCATCAAACATAAGGAAGAGTCTGGTATGTTTCTCAACAAATGGAAAACTGTACTGCGATTTGATCTCTTTAGTAAGTTATGTTTTTCCTTTTAGGATAATGTGGATTCATTGTAATGTTTGAGACATTAAATGATCTGTACCACTGGTTAGATAGGAAATATGTGTATAAATCCCACTTTCAATCTCTATGTAACATAGCACATCTCTCTTACTATTTAGAAAATACCCATAACATACATATCTTATATACGTTCAATCCATTCTCCAAGCTTTGAGTGTGAGCTTCAAATTTTTCTATTTGAGTCAAGGTCTGAGAGGCAAAGCTATCTTCCGTAAGTGGATCTAGCAATGGTAGCTGTTTTTGATAGCTCTTCCCTGGGAACATAAGATTAAATTATGTATATTTGACTTTGCAGAGCTCAAATCCATAGTTCTTCTGCTCAAAACAAGGTTGTGACTTGACTTCATGCCTCTATGATGATTTATATATGTAATATATCGGTTGACCATTTGCAGTAGACATGTGCAATTCGTTTCGGGACGAATATGTATTTGGACGAATTTTGGGGAATTCGGATACTTCCGAATAGCCGAAGTTCCGAATTGCCTAAGTTCCGAAGCACAGTTTTGCCTAAGTACTAATATACTTACCCAGCGGAAGAAGAAGAATGTTACACTGTATACAATTTTAAATAAAAAGTATGCAAACGTAGCCAGGATTCAGCTGTAAGCATTTGCAACACTGACAACAATCAAGTAACACACATTCATATAAAATATAAGTTACTTGGCCAGTTAATGTAATGACAGGAATGAATAAGTAGATAACTCCCTAATTCCCACGGTATTAGGGAGGTATCTACTAAAAGGCTGAAAGACCTGAATTGCTGGATCTCTGGTGGATTTCAAACCAACCAGAGTGCTGTGACAGGTAAATGTAAAGACTTACCTGTCAGTCTCTTCATTTACCTGTCAGAGCACTCTGATTGGATGGCTTAAACCCACCAATCAGAGTGCTCTGAGCCTAATTGCAGGGCGGGGCAAGGCTTTATAAGCCTTCCCCCGCCCTGCAGAGCTCAGTCTGTGCGGAGCCCTCCATGCGCTGAAAAAAGATTTTAGAAGAAAGAAAACATCAAATGGTAAGTTTTATTTTATTTTTTTACAGGTACTTAGTTAAATGGTCCCCCCTCATTATTTTTAGAGTGAGGGGGGTAGGTAGGGGTTAATTTTTTGGGGGAGGGGGTGACTAGGGGTTTGGGGACCCCTAGTCACCTGCGGGAGGGGGGGTTATTTTTTTTATTTAGGGCCCCACCCGATGCTCAGGTGTGGGGGCCAGGGGGGAGGACATTAGGTCCTCCCCCTCATGCTAATTTAGGGCCCACACCCACCGCTCAGGGGTGGGGGCCAGGGGGAGGACATTAGGTCCCCCCCTCATACTAATTTAGGGCCCCCACCCACCGCTCAGGGGTGGGGGCCAGGGGAGAGGACATTAGGTCCCCCCTTATTCTAATTTAGGGCCCCCACCCCAGGGGTGGGGGCCTGGGGAGAGGACAATAGGTCCCCCCCATTATTTTACTTTAGGGCCCCCACCCGCCGCTTAATTTAAATTGTTTTTAACAGTGAGCAGCCACAGGCTGTTTAATAGACATGCCCCTACTCACGGTATAGCGAGTAGTGGCAAAATTTACTAATACTAAGTAATTTTTACTTAGTATTAGTAACTTTGGCTGAAAGACCAATTTAGGTCTTTCAGCCTTTTGATAGATAACTCCCTAATACCGTGGAAATTAGGGAGTTAACTACTAAGCGGCTGCAAGAGAAGTTCCGAAGTTCCAAAATTCCGAAGTGCCAAAGTTGCAGAAGTTCCGAAGTCCCGAATTTCGGAATGCCGAACCGCACCGAAATTTTTTCCCATGCACATGCCTATTTTGCAGTGAGAACATTGTTTAATGAATATGATGCTGAAAAGTCTCTCTGCTTGAGTTCTTGGGCTGATTCCTTCAAGGACCATTGACTTTGAACTGCTCCTGAAGTGGAAAAAACATCCCCATCTCAGTAGTGAAGCTTTGCTTATCACTACCAATTTTAAAACTGGAGTTAGAAGAGGACACATATGGAGAAATGAATATATATATAGAACCAAACTTTGCTGAAACTCCCTTTTGACTTGATATCCTTCTTGCTTATCCCATCCTTCTCTAAGATTTATTGCTTTTGTCCAATCAAATGCTTCTTGTAGAGAACCATTGCCTACGTATGGCACCTGCTGTATGTATAATATAGCCAAAGTCTTTAAGAACTGTCTTCAGTGTAAAGGAGAACAAGGATTCCTGGAAGTGATGGTATGAGATCCTGCAGACCTCTGATCTCAACACCATGGTGTCTGTCTGGGAATAAATGAGACAGAAGCAACTTGTGTGCCTAAATCCACAGATGTGGTTAGATCTCCAAGATGTTTGTAGCAGCCAACCTGCTGAGTTCCTCACAAACCTTACAAATAAGTGTATGTAGAAAAAAATTTTTAATGCAAAGGGTGGCAATGCCAAATATTGATTTGAATTAGATTTTTCTTATGTTTTCTTCTTCACTCAATTAGAATTTTGTTAATTGATAAATATAAAGTAATATTATTTCTACTTTTTTTTTCCTATAGCATTCTTGCTATACAACCTACCTAAAACCTTTTCACAATTGTGTATATACACACACACAACCAGACGCACCCCCTTAAACTGGTGCAAAATGCATATACTGCAAATTTATGCTCCTGTTGCCACTCAAGCAATGGGGAAATGTAAGCAACAATTTCAGAGTGCTACATGAAATCCTAGGATTGCAAAACCAGCAGTAAACCGCATTGCTAAAAAGTCTTAATAATGTCTTGTGAATTCTGCAAATGACCAGTTAAATTACAGAAGTTCTCTGTGGTAAATAATTAAAGAATGTTTCAAATGCTCAAGCAACCCATTTTAATTTGTTAGAAAGATCCAGCACACTCTCTGTATGTTAAAGGGACTCTGTGGGGGGAGTGGAGCTCAGAGTCTGCACTGAATGGATACCATTTTTGGAGCTCCTGACATTTGGCTCCTATTCTATCACAATTCGTAGTCCTACAGTGCCACCTGCACAAACTATCTGATGCCTTCCTTGTTCCCATGCTGAAGAACCAGGCCTGCTTCAAGTTTCCAACCTCTGGGCCGTGAACTGGAAACAAAGACTGACACTCAGTCCAACTCCCCTACTCTGTCTGGGCCTCCTTCTAACTGCACAGACCGACAACATGGGACGGCGATCCCAGAGGCCATAATTGTGAATCAGTAAGGGCTCCCAGGATGTTGGTGCTTTGTTACACCACTCCGCGGCCTCCAAGATGGCGGCCTGGTTGGATCGTGACCCAAGCCCATCCAGACTTAATATAACTCAGGCAGATAAAAAGGACTCCTCCTCATCTGAAACACTTCTCACAGAGCAGGTTGAATGGGATGCACTAACCCTGGCTACTAAGCAGAATATTTCTAACCTACTGAAAGTCTTCAGACAGGTGTTGACTGCGGGCCTTGATGTTCTCCGAACGGAGGTTCAGATGGTGACTGTGCAAACACAGGCCTCAGTGGAAGGTATCTTGGATTTAAAACAAGAGGTACAAGGTTTGAAAGAAACTAATGCAATCTTTGCAAAATACCATGATTATGAGTGGAACTGGCTGAGGACTGTAACCGACGCACAAATATAAAAATTCGCGGAGTACCAGACTCTGTTTACCCGACCATATTACCACATTACTTAAGATGCCTCATTGCAACGATCATGCCGCATACTCAGGCAAATTTTTTTTACAGAATTAATAAACCTGGCCAGGCTCCATCTACAGCCTCCTGGGATATCATAATCCTGACAGACAAGACTCCTATCCTGGCAGCAGTGGGGGGCAAATTCCTGTATGGCTTTGAGTCCTCCCAGGACTTGACGAGAAATACATTGCAATGGCAGAGATCTTTTGGCCATGTCACAAGCCAATTACTTTAGGCTGGATTGGTGTATCGCTGGACTTTGCCAAGATCACCCACAGTCATTAAGGAGGGTAATATGCTTAGACCCACCTCATTGAATGAGGCCACCTAATTTCTCCAAGCGTTGGGGATTCCCCTGACACCTTCAACTGCCGCGACCCCATCAGGCATCTGTGCGTGCTGTTGCCCTGTCCATGCCCAGCTGTCGCTTTATTATACTGACAAGTAACTTTTAGGCAAGGCTAGTTGCGTAGGATATTACATTTTAAGTCCTGCTGTAGACAATACAAAAACAGGGGAACCATATGGCTTGTTCATTTTAAAATGCATATCTCAGGATTGTATTCATTAAAATGTAGCTGGCTGTCTCCACATGGCAATGTATCCAGTGCTGCCCTAAAACTTCTCTTCTAAAACAAAACCAGGTAGGGAAAGCAGAGGGAATGATAGTTGTTTGGGAATGATGGTTGTTGGGACTGTATTCCATGTTCATTGGACACTTGTGGTTAAGTGAAATTCTACTAAAGAAATCTATTGAACTTTATAATTACAGTGGGTTTTGATTCCTATTCTTGTTACATTGCATTGTATATGATTTCCAATCCACTTATCCACTTGGGATATGCCCTATAGGGAAGTTAATAACTGTCTATTCCCTGTTCTCACCTTCCTTCCCCTTCAAAAGGCTTACTTTCCCATAGTTCCCAGTCCATTCCACCTTTTTCCATTGATCCACTATTCATCTGCTTTAGTGATGCAATTTCTAAAAGAAGTGTGTGGCACAATGGCTCCTGTTGAGTAGACTTTTGGCATTTTTCCTGTACGTTAGAAAAACAATACCTACTCATGCCTGCCCTGTGTGACCGTTGCTAGTATTTGCTGATATTTCAGGTTTACGGGATCATTCTCACTGCATGGTAGTGAAATCCCTGCAGAGAAGTAAATTAAATGATGACATATTTTATATATCAGCTTGAGTGTTATCTTGGCTTAGAGAGAGAGCTTCATCACAATTTATATTTTGCAGTTTAATATAAAGTGAATCAGTTATCTACAAACATGTAGGAATGATGTTCCCCTTTTGAAATGCTAATGTCTGTGTTGACATAATTAAAAGTAAACATATAATTTATAAATGCACTATTTAGATGAAGATCACTTCCCCCCTCCCAAAAAATGGTTATTGAAAACTGGGGGGACTCTGTTTTTGCTGTTGCTTCACCCCCACATGATGCAAGCAACATACATCAATTTACAGCATGCTGTTTCACAGTAGAAATGATGGGAGGTCCTTGTATGTCTTGATGTTGGGCCAATATCTGTAGTCTTTAACTCTGTATGTAGTAGTCTAAGAAACAATAGAGTTTACTATTATCACATCCAAGAGACACATTCAGATTGAACAGAAAGGTAAATTATGTTAGCTTATGTAACGGAGCTCCTTGTACTCCGAGTGAGTACCCTCCGTTGATGGATGCTCCTAGCGCTTCCTGAGGACTCCCAAGCACTGCAGCAGACACCACAACCACCGCAGACTCCGCAACCGCCGGATCTTGACTGGAGTCTCGCCGTCTTCCTTTCACACTGGATCAGCTTCTGTCCTCCAGGACTGTGTGGTGAAGACCCCTCCTCCAAGGAGAGCGTGTCAGGAACAAGCTCTTAAAAGAGCTAAGTGACTCAAGCTCAGGGGAGCATGCAGAGCATAGCAATCCCCAGTGTGATTATAACATCTCCCTCCAATAACGAGACAAGGCTACGTTTAGAGGGATCAAGAAGAACTGTTTACTTGGCACCAAAGGGCCTTCTTTTATGCAGGTTTCCCTGAGATAGGACCACCCACAGGGGTTTACAGAATAACCAATCATAAACGTACATGACAGAAACACTCCCAGCAATTACACACAAAAATCCTCCCCTCTGCCTGTGATCTAATTATGGCACACAATGGGTTAACATAATTAAACACAGGCAGTAAAAATACAGTTTTTATACATGTACTATAACTTCCAAACTACACATCCAATCTTCATATTCAAATTACATATTTGGAATCAATCCATTAAGGGGAGCAACATATTAAAAAATGGCACAAATCAGACAAGGGGTTCAAAAGTTAGCAAAAGTGTCTTTTGGGGCCTGGCTGGCAGCATGGTTTTCTGGCCCAAACCGGTTTTACAGAGGCCTCTATCCTGGACAATGGGGAAAGTAATCCAATTATCCAGGGATAGAGGCAGACTCCATTAACCACATGTTAGCAAAAGACACAAAAAGACACAAAAATACATAACTCCTATTGAACTGAACAGAACCCCCACATTCAACCTATCTCCAGATGGCTTGGATCTTGTCAGGGTACCTGTTGGTGCTGAATCCAGGGAAGACATCCTCTCTGTTTAGGGGCTCCCTGCCCCTAGCATTTCGGCATATTCCGGCCGTTTTCGCGCCGGCCGCGCTAGCTCCTCCCCCTTTTATGACGCGACGGCTAGCGTCGACGTCATGACGTCGGCATTTACATGAAGTGCCGGGAACCGCTATTCCGGACCTTTTGGGGGCGTGGTCTCTATTTAGGTAACAGGGTATTTAAAGGAAACCTTTACTACTGCTCATTGCCCTGTCGTGGTTCTAGCTTGCTAGTCACTCAGCGCGTTCTTTATCTTGTGTTTCCGGTTTTGACCCTTGCTTGTCTTTTGTCCTGTTGTCCTCTCCTCTCCTTTGACTCGGCTTGTATCTCGCTTACCTGTCCTCCGGCTCCCTCGACCTCGGCTTACCTTTTGACTATTCTTGCTTTGTCCCTACGTTAGTCCGGCCATTCTAAGGTCCGGTATACGTACCTCCTTCTGTCCGCACTCTGCGTATTGGATCCCTGTCAGTATCCTGACATTACGACAGGGCCAGATGGATCCTGCAGGTGCTAGTCCTCCTGACCCCAGATTTGAGGCCATGGACCATAGAATGGACCAAATGGCTTTAGCATTACAAACTTTGTTAACACGCTCCAGCACCCAGTCTGAAGAAATACGTTCGCATCTTCCCATGTCACTTCACCGTTACGATATGGGGGTTCGCCTGATGCTTGTCGTGGTTTTTTAAACCAGATAAGCATACATTTCGAACTTCAACCCCGGGCTTACCCCACTGACAGGGCTAAAGTAGGCTTTATTATAACCCTGCTAATAGATAAAGCACTTAGATGGGCCAATCCCCTTTGGGAGAATGACAATCCTTTAGTCTACAACTACACTGCTTTTGTCACGGCTTTTAGAAGAACCTTTGACCCCCCAGGAAGGAAGATTAATGCGGCCAGATCCCTGTTACGCCTTAAACAACAGAATAGGACCCTTGTAGAATATGCTCTAGAGTTTAGATCATTGGCAGCAGAAGTGAAATGGAACGAACAAGCTTTTATGGATGTATTCTTGAATGGGTTGTCTGATGAAATTCTAGATGAAATTGCCACAAGAGAACTTCCGGAAAATTTAGAGGATTTAGTATCCTTCATTTCCAGAATAGATGAGCGCATGAGACAGAGGCAGAACACTCGGGAAAGAGTTACTAGACTTCCTGTAAGACTCGCTCCCTCATTTCAGAACCCTGACTCCTATAATCCTACTCCACCAGAACCTATGCAAATAGGTAATACTCGCTTATCTGAGGCTGAGAGACAGTACAGAAGAAGGGAGGGTCTCTGTTTATACTGCGGGCGGAGAGGTCACCTACGTCTTAGTTGCCCTAATCGTCCGGGAAACGCTCGCACCTAAGTTCCCTTAGAGGACGGGCCTTGGGTGTTTCATTACTGTCCTCTATGCATAATAAAGACCATAGGCTTCTGATTCCTGTCTCTCTAGCTTGGGAAAAGGGGTCTATTTCTACGATGGCATTATTAGATTCTGGAGCAGCAGAAAGCTTTATAGACCAAACTTTCACTAATAAGCATTGTATCCCATTCCAATTGAGAGATACACCCTTGGCCGTTGAGGCCATAGATGGTAGACCTTTATCTGAACCAGTAATATTCCATGAGACCGAACCCGTTAAGCTTACTGTTGGTATTTTCCACGAGGAGTTGATTTCCCTTCTGTTAATTTCCTCCCCGGCAGTCCCAGTGGTACTAGGATATTCTTGGCTCAAGAGACACAACCCTCAGATTGACTGGGAGGGTGGAGAAATCGTTTCTTGGGGTATGGGTTGTAGGAAAGAATGTCTGCAGAGAGTTACTTCTGTTTGCCCCGTAAACTCTTATGCTAACACTTCCCAATCCACAGACGTTCAGATACCATTACAATATCTAGACCTCAAATCTGTATTTGACAAGGGTAAGGCGGATACTTTACCTCCCCACTGGTCTTATGACTGTTCTATTAAACTTTTCCCTGGTACTATGCCTCCCAGGGGTACGGTATACCCTCTATCCACCAAGGAAAACTTAGTTTTAGAGGAATACATCAAGGAGAATTTAGACAAAGGATTTATTAGAAAGTCTTCTTCTCCGGCGGGGGCGGGTTTCTTTTTTGTAGAAAAGAAAGACGGTACCTTACGTCCTTGTATAGACTATCGGGGATTGAACAAAATTACTATCAGGAATGCTTACCCTATTCCTTTGATTACTGAACTCTTTGACAGACTAAAGGGCTCGAGTATTTTTACCAAACTTGACTTGAGAGGAGCATATAACTTGGTGCGAATTAAACAAGGAGATGAATGGATGACAGCATTTAATACCCGTTACGGGCATTATGAGTATACCGTAATGCCGTTTGGGCTTTGTAACGCCCCGGCCGTCTTCCAAGACTTGATCAATGAAGTTCTTAGAGAATTCCAACATGAATGTGTAATTGTATATTTGGATGATATACTAATCCATTCTAGAGACATTAATTCACATCATAGACAAGTCAGAAAGGTATTACAGAAACTTTTACAACATGGATTGTATTGTAAATTGGAAAAATGTAGCTTTGACCAGTCTCAGGTAACTTTCTTAGGTTACGTAATTTCCAAAGACGGGTTTATGATGGACCCGACCAAACTAAAATCGATTTTAGATTGGCCTTTACCTAAGGGACTCAAAGCCATACAAAGATTTCTTGGATTTTCTAATTATTACAGACGTTTTATTAAAGGGTACTCCTCTGTTATCGCTCCTATCACTAATATGACCAAACAAGGAGCCGATACCAAAACCTGGTCTACTGAGGCTTTATCTGCTTTCGAAACGCTCAAACAGTCTTTTGCCTCAGCACCTGTATTAGTTCATCCTGATACCTCTCTACCCTTTTTACTTGAAGTTGATGCGTCTGAAACAGGGATAGGCGCAGTGTTGTCCCAAAGACAAAGTTTAGATAAGCCGCTGCACCCTTGCGGTTTTTTTTCCAAGAAACTATCACACACTGAAAGGAGATATGACATTGGTGATAGAGAACTTTTAGCTATCATTATGGCATTAAAGGAATGGAGACATTTGTTAGAGGGCACTGTCCTCCCAGTTACTATCTTGACTGACCACAAAAATTTATCGTATATGGGGGAGGCCAAAAGATTATCTGCCAGGCAGGCACGTTGGTCTATGTTCCTTACACACTTTAATTATATGCTTACTTACAGGCCTGGTTCTAAGAACACTAAGGCAGACGCTTTGTCACGTCAGCACGAACCTATCACCTCTACAGAGGACACTTTGTTCCCTATTATTCCTGAAGTCAATATTATCGCCAACACCAATGTCAAAATACACTCTCCATTGCTCGCTGATATTATGAACGAACAATCTCTTGCTCCCGAACGTACTCCTGTGGGCCGCTTGTTCGTGTCTCCCAAATTCCAAGTGGACATTATTCGCTGTTTTCACGATAGCAAGTTCGCTGGTCACCCCGGCATCCACAAAACTTACTGCCTGATCTCCAAAGACTTCTGGTGGCCCGGTTTACGTAGGGATGTGGAAGACTTTGTCAAGGCTTGCAATGTTTGTGTCAGGAATAAACTTCCGCGGGATCTCCCTTGTGGTTTATTGCAGCCCTTAGTCGTTCCCAACAAACCTTGGGCTTGTTTGGCTATGGATTTTATTGTTGATCTACCAGCTTCCAGTAGGCATACGGTTATCCTCACGGTCCTTGACAGGTTTACTAAAATGGCTCATTTCATTCCCTTGCCTAAACTTCCGTCCTCTCCTGAACTGGCCGTGATATTTGCTAGAGAAATTTTCCGTTTACATGGTATTCCCAATGAGATTGTGTCAGACAGGGGTTCCCAATTTATTTCCCGTTTTTGGAGATCCTTCTGTTCCCAGTTGGGCATCAAACTGAATTTTTCTTCGGCCTATCATCCTCAATCTAACGGAGCAGCCGAACGCACTAACCAAAAAATTGAGCAATATCTACGTTGTTTTGTTTCTGAACACCAGGATGACTGGGTCGGTCTGATTCCTTGGGCGGAGTTTGCTCACAACAACCTTGTTTGTGGTTCCACTCGTAATAGCCCCTTTTTCTTGAACTATGGCTTTAACCCTACTGTTCTTCCGTCGGTGTCTCCTTCCCAGGGTATACCGTCGGTTGATATTCATATAGCCAACCTGAGAAAGTTGTGGGATCAGACTCGACAAATTCTTGCACGTAGTTCCGCGGTGTTTAAGTCACATGCTGATAGGCGTAGGCGGCCTGCTCCTATTTTTTCTCCGGGTGATAGGGTCTGGTTGTGTACCAGACACATTCGCCTGAAAGTTCCTTCCTTGAAGTTTGCTCCTCGTTACATTGGTCCTTACAGGGTGCTGAGGAGGATCAACCCGGTTTCTTATTTGCTGGATCTACCTCCTACTCTACGCATCCCTAACTCTTTTCATGTGTCTTTATTGAAACCTCTTGTTTGTAACAGATTTTCCTCCCGCTCTGCTCCTCCATCCTCGGTCCGTGTGGATGGTCAGGAGGAATATATCATCAAGTCCATCCTTGATTCTCGTATTTCTAGGGGGAAGCTGCAATACCTCATAGACTGGAAAGGTTATGGTCCAGAAGAGAGGTCTTGGGTTCCTGAGATAGACGTGCATGCTCCTCGTCTTCTTCGGGTCTTCCACGTTCGTTTTCCTTCTAAGCCCGGTCCCATCCGCCCGGTGGGCGTTTCTAGAAGGGGGGGTACTGTTGGTGCTGAATCCAGGGAAGACATCCTCTCTGTTTAGGGGCTCCCTGCCCCTAGCATTTCGGCATATTCCGGCCGTTTTCGCGCCAGCCGCGCTAGCTCCTCCCCCTTTTATGGCGCGACGGCTAGCGTCGACGTCATGACGTCGGCATTTACATGAAGTGCCGGGAACCGCTATTCCGGACCTTTTGGGGGCGTGGTCTCTATTTAGGTAACAGGGTATTTAAAGGAAACCTTTACTACTGCTCATTGCCCTGTCGTGGTTCTAGCTTGCTAGTCACTCAGCGCGTTCTTTATCTTGTGTTTCCGGCTTTGACCCTTGCTTGTCTTTTGTCCTGTTGTCCTCTCCTCTCCTCTCCTTTGACTCGGCTTGTATCTCGCTTACCTGTCCTCCGGCTCCCTCGACCTCGGCTTACCTTTTGACTATTCTTGATTTGTCCATACGTTAGTCCGGCCATTCTAAGGTCCGGTATACGTACCTCCTTCTGTCCGCACTCTGCGTATTGGATCCCTGTCAGTATCCTGACAGATCTGAGCGCTCAATATATCCAAACAGCGCTCAGATCCCACAAATACAGTCAAATCGCCATACACACTAGGTCCATAGTCATGGGGCAGAAGGCTGGCAATTAGGCTTCTCCATAACACAGGGAAGCAGGGCAATTTGTCAAATAAAATAACAGTTACAAATGGCAGTTTGTAACAACATCAAAGAGTCATAGTCACAGGGGAGGAGGCTGGCAAGCAGGCCTCTCCAGTACCAAGTGGCGAAGGGCACTTCGTCACAGCTTACATAAAGCTTCTCTTCACTAAATCCTTCTCTTCCCCCAGCCTATGTATGCCTCCCTCAAAACCCCTTCCACAACACTTAGTGACTGTGGTACCGATACTACATTTGTTTCTTCTTCTGCATATCCATAACAGAGGAACTCAGAAATCACAGCCTCTGTCCTTCCAGTACACGGTTAGTCTACACAGAGAGGCAATGACCAAAGTGACGGGTCGCTGGAAGGAGCGGAGTAAGAACTCGACAACTAATGGCAAAAGTTGACAAAGGACATAAAAATGTAGACTAAAGCTCCACATTTTTCCAAAGTTTATCAACCTGCAGGTTATATATTATGAAAAGTAGTTCCTACCAAAGGAGGGGAGATTTGGACATGCAAACTTAATTTATAAAGTGGCAGAGCCGCTTTAAAGGGACAATCTGGAAACCATATAACGTTATCTTAAATAAGTTGTTATTGTTTCTGGAGGTCCTGGGCACCATCTAACCATAATGGGTTAAAGCATTTAAGAACAGATTTCACCCCAAAGTTGTCCAGGTGGCACTTGTCCTCTATTTCCATGCTTCAGTGTGAAAAAAATAAATGAAGATTTAAACAGTATACAATGGGTAGGCATCCTTCAGAACTCCAGATGTTATATATTACATCTCCCATGATGCTCTGTTATAGCCATAATGCAGGCAAAGCATCAGGGGAGATGTAGTCCACAAAATCTGGAGTAATACCATTCCTACAGTCAGGAAGGGGGAGGAGTGATTGAGTTCTATTTTAAGCCTATCAGCTTTACATAAACATTACAGGAATTTACTGTGAATTCAGGGGAGGAGTCTTCTCAATTCAAAACTAAAGTCAATAATAAAAAATAAAAAAAATACATTTGACAAACTTTGAACTAATCACACATGTTGTTGAGAGACTTGCAATAATAATCAGTTTGCTATAAGCCACTATTCAAGTGATTGTTCCCAGCCTATTACATTACAGAACCTTAAATAGTTAAAGGCATCTTTTCTTCATATCGACCTATATTATTCTGAAACAGTGACTTTCAAATAGCTCAAGTTCAACATGGAGAAGTGGAATGGAGGAGTAACTCCGGCATCATTCCAGACACAGTGATAGATTCAGATGCCATCAGATTAGCCTGTGAGGCACTCTCTAAAAATATTTCCAGATGGTCAGAGAAAGAACACAAGCTACATATTCTTTGCCTGGAATACTTTGAAACAGGGAGTTAGAGACTGCACCCATTTTATTCATGAACCTTATTTCCAACAGCAATGAAAAGAGAGGTCCGGGCACAAAAACATACATCCAATTAAATCTTTATTGGATAATAAATGTTGCCTTTTGTATCTAAGACTGCATTAGATGTATCCTTGTGTACCTATACTCCTCTTTCTATTGCCTGGAATACATGTCAGAATCAGTGACACTCAAAAAGTTTGTCAAGACAAGACCATTCTTTATTACAATCATTTAGTTCAAAGTTGAAGCTTTTATTGGCTTAGCTAACAATGTTTTGGATCTATTTTCCACACAAACGCCTCAGTTCTTCAGTGGAGATGTCAATAAATTTCCTGAGACTGATCTGTTCGTTGTTTGTTCAAAGCAAGAATATCCATTCCAGAACTTTGAAATCGAAGTATAATCTACTTTACCTTCAGTTAGATAAGAACTGAGGGCCCAACTGCCCATGCAAACCAATTGCTGCACTGCACCAGTAGTATTCTCCTCCAAGAGAAGTGTTGTCTTATTCTTCTTTATGGGGATTTAAATGCATTTGGCTTCATCATGGCGCAGAATGTGAACATTGTCAGAAAATAAAGGTGTTGATGGAGGAAATGCTTCTATTGGCTGTCTGATTCATAGCTACTAAAGACAATCTAACTGGCAAATGTAAGCATCTCCATTTCTATGAAGCAGATATTATTTCATTTATCAGGCTGCCAGAACAGCATTAAGACTCCAAGACAACTACATTAAGTGAATTCAATATGCAGGAAATTAAAAGTAAACAAATTAATAGAAAGGAGTATTACCAGTATTGTAATAGCAATTCAGAACTGGGCACTAATCCATTAATGAGCACAGCAGATGTTTTAGCATGTACCACTGAGGATTGTTGGATAAATCCAAGTACATATTGTCAACCTACAGAAGGCAGAGGCTTAGCTAGAGCTACAAGCTCTTCCTGAACTACTTAAAGGACCACTATAGTGCCAGGAAAACATACTCGTTTTTTCCCCCTCCAGTGTCTCGAGTCTTGCTCAGATCGCCCCCCCCCCCCCTCGATAGGAGCCGGTTCATATCATAGGCGGACCCGGCTCCTAGTAAACTCCCACCCTCCCCTCGGGCATGTGGGCTTGGGAATTGTAGTCACCGGTTTCACCGGCTCACAATTCCCCTCACCGTGCTCTGGTTCACACGCTGTCTGGGAAAAATCAATATGTTACATATGTAAAACATTGCTAAAAGTAAATTACAAGTGATACTTACCTTCAATCGACACAGGAGCCGGTTCATTTCACATGCGGATCCGGCTCCTAAACTCCAACTCCCTCCCCCCCGAGCATGTGGGCACGGGAATCATATTCATTGCTAAAAGTAAATTACAAATGATACTTATCTTCATTCAACCTGCTTCCACATCTCCTGTGCCGTTAGAGCGGCAGGGAACTGCTGACGAGATCCCTCCCACTCAGTCATACGTTGTACACTTATTCACTGAGACTGGAATTGTTAAGAAGCAATTGTTAACTTATGACAATGCAGTTAAATTGGGGTATGCTCCTTTGCAACTAAGTAAGTTGTCCAATTCATGCAAGCAGTTACATGATTATTACATCTGACTAAGATCTGTTTATAAGGTTTAACCTTACCGCTTGTCATGTGTTAGATTACATGCTGACAGTTGGGCTATGGAACAGGGTCTCCTAAATGCCAGACCCGTGTAAACTAATCTACCTGTCACGAGTACAGGGACATAAACCTTTCTGCTACTGCAGGAGAATTATGATAAGTCATGTTATATGTATAACCTAGGATAGGCTAATTTCTCATGGAAATGCTTGGCGGGATATTAATCCATAAGTCACAGAATTACTATGGGCATTAATTATGTATGGTGCCGCTCACGCGGTCATTTATGAGGTAGAGTGGGGAGACAACACTGCTTTCGTGATTCCAGACCGAATCACAAATCGCCTGTTAACTGGTAAATGCATCATTTATCAGGCACTAGTCTGAAAGTCTCATATGGAGCGGCGAGAAGCGGCATATGTTAACTATGTATTTGTCAATTTTGACCTCTAGATTCTCCTTGCAGGATTCAGAGACCTAAACAAAGACAAGAGTATTGTTTCTTCCTTTGGTAAGTGCCCTATATGTACAAACATACGTTTCGTTAATCAGACTTATGACAAACCGTGCACAAGCACATATCATTACGCCAGATACACATGGTACCAAACAGACATTCGCAATACCGTTATAACGTATCTTGAATTGTGTTACAGACTCAAGACGCCAAGTTAAGACAGACTTGGCAATCAGGACCTAATCCATAAGTGATCAGCAATCATAGGACACGCTATTTAAAATAGGGGGACAGGTGTCAGCAACGGCATATCTGTACACACTCATATGTACCCTATACCTCCCTTTTGTCATCTAGCATCTGGTTTAGGCCTTTCCCCCTTAGCTGGAAGTTATACTACGACAGTACAACCAGACAGACATTGTTCATTCAGGTAAGTTGCTCCGGTTTTTCAACAACAACATAGCAACAAGGAACCAACCATAGTCACAGTACCCCATAAAAACCCTCCTTAGGGGTATACTCTAAACCCAAGCACCTATTTCACAATGTAGGTGGCCTATAGACATGCATCTCTTTAAACATATTTCAGGCTTATTGGATACCACACCTTTCGAAGCCCTTACTACCACCATTCTCAAAACTGCCATATACTTGGCTTTTTATGGTTTCCTACGACCCAGAGAATTTACCATCACAGAGCAACACGATTCCAAGCATTGCCTACGGTACTCTAACCTGTACAAAATACAGGATCACTACGTATTAAGCCTACCTTCAACTAAGACCAGCCAGATGGGTCACGAGGTGCTTATCCATTACTATCCCACCAACAACGCATGGTGCCCGGTGGAAATCTTTGACACATATCTAAAGTCACCACCTACACAAGCCTCACTCCCTCTCCTTTCACTGCATGGTACAGTACTCACCACCTCTAAATTTATGATGTACATAAGTTTACTGTTGACCCGACTTGGCTTAAACGCCACCAAATATTCTGGGCATTCATTCAGGATAGGGGCAGCATCCATGGCTTCAAGCCAGGACATCCCAGTCCATGTCATACAAACCTTGG